ATATATATGTTATGCTGTTTTACTGCAGAAAAGTACTCTTCCACAATGATTTATACCTGGAGAATTAGGACAATATAGGCATGGCATGTCTGGTATAGAAATCACTGTAGAACAACAGACAAACTGTTAGGGCTTGGCACGACATCCTTTCTCTGTCACAGTAATGCATGCAAAAACAGCAATAGGACACAACACACCAAGCATCACAGGAGTTGAATAAACATTTTACTGATAGATCAATGCCAAATGCTACAAGAGCATAATCAAACTTGAAAAGATTGTAAAATGTCAGGTCTGAAATACTGTACAAAGGTTATGGCGTAAAAGGGCAGAACGTTTCCTCTTATTGTCACACTCGTCCAGACTTGGGCTCCTAGGATAGAAAGACTCTCGACTCCATTTGTCCAAAAGGTATACTTTTACTAAAGCCAAGTCGTTACAGTACAGCAAAAGTCAGAACGAAAGTTTTGCGTCAGACATTTCCCCACTAACTTTCCCTTTTCTCTTTGTCCTCCCTATTATCTCCCTATTGTCCAGTTACAGTGGAAAAAGTTATTTTGGGAACAGTCCCTGGAATGGCAGGGCCCTGGCCTTGGGATGGTGAGCTGCTATCTCGGGACGGCACAATGAGTGGTTATCCTTCTCACAGCTCTCTCGTCCCATAGTCTATGGGAGACTGGCTTATAGCGAAGCAAGTCTGGAGCTCAGGATGGCAGTTCTGACACTTGCTTACTGCAGAATTAAGAGCTATAAAACTGGGATTGTCAAAATTGTTGACAAAATTAGAATTAGTCACTTTCACAACATTCAGTTTACAAAAAAAGGAAGTCTTTGCATTGAACTACATAGATAGGATATATAAAAGGGCACCACTTGTCCTTTTAGACATAGGGTCTCTTGCCAGAGCAGGGTACAGGATTTGAAGACTTCCCTTCCAGCTTCTATGCTCTGCTCTGCTGTGTTCTGCTCTGCTAACCTAGCCTAATTCTAGTCTAGTCTAGTCTACACTAGTCTGCTCTACTCTACTCTACTCTACTCTACTCTACTCTTTATTAATTTTGTTTCAGAGAAAATATTATTGTACTTAGGAATGTTCAGAGGTTATGCATCAAATGAGTATAAGGAAATGTTTAGAAGAACATGGCAACTAATTTAGACTTATAATGTAATTTATATAATAAATTATCAATGAGGCCTAACTTTACTTATGGACCTTCATTTTTGTTACACCCTGTATATTTTAGTTGCATTTGGGCAATTTTAGAATAAAACTTGAATTAACCCTAAAGTCATTGATTATTTTATTATTATTAGCCATTGGCAGTTGTGACTTGAAATTCTGGGTTTTTTTGCACCAGGGAGGGAACACTCTCTTTCAAGAGTTTTCTTATCTTCTTGTGCACAGCAGGAAAAGAGGAAAGGTTGGAGGAAGTTAGTTTTTACTTGGTTTGTATTTGCCTTTAATTAAGCGTAGACAGCAGAGACTCTCTTTTCCTATATATTTTTCTAACTAAAAGTTGACAAATGGGTTTCTGAATCACCACACCATTTCTGAAAAAGCTGACAGCAGACACACATGCTCTCATTGGATGCTAAAATTGCTTCCCTTAAGACTATAAAAGGCTCTACCAGGAATTAATTTAGAACCAATGATCTCCCTCATAAAATTTCCACCCATACAGTCAAATCATTTTGCCTGCTAGTGTCTGTTCGTGGGATTTTCAATTGGATGCCCGTGGATACTTTTATTCCTTCCCCTGTTTGAAAAAGAGGCACTTTTAATTAAAAGGAAAATAGCAACAACAATGGGAAACTCTCCCCCTTTAAATCAAAATGACAGATTCCATTCTTCTCCTTCTGTTTTCCAAGAATAAAGGTAGCCATCCATCAGCATTCTAAGAAGTAAAAGGAGAGCTAGGGGTTCACAGTTGCAAAACTCTGGAAAAAGAAAGCAAAGATAGGAACAATATTAATAGGCATGTTTTGCAATCCCAAATCATTGGAGCACCAGATGAATACCATTGGCATTGACAAATCACCACCAGTCAATTGCAGAAGGCAGTGTCAGTCGTAACAGCTTACATCCTGCAACAATACCTTTAACCCCATCAAACACCAACATCTGCCTAAGGCAGGTCCTTGGGAAAGTCTTGATAGGTGGATAAAACTGCCCAATCCAGTCTAAACATCTGGGTGACCCTGCGACAAACCAATAATACTAATAATAAATTGAAATGGAACATTCAGATTTTTATCGGCTTACGCTTCTTTGAGATAGGGCAAGCCGGTAACTGAAATTTAATCATGCACATATTCTAATAAGCCAATTTCTGCAATAAAAGTCTCCTTGTTTTCAGAATGATGTTATTTATTTATCTGCCTGAGTACCTAGCATTTCCTTGGTCCAGAGGCCAAGTCTGGCCCTGTTAATACTCCAGTGGTGGGCAAAAGAAAAGAGTTCATTTCTACCGAAAGAAAGAAAACCCCAAAATAGAATGTGGAAAGGTACACATCATGTCTGGCTGGTCTTTCCCTTTTTGGTAAATGTGACTCAAATACATTGGTTTTTCTCCAGTCTACTCTATATATACACTTTTGGGGGAGGATTGTTTTGAGTTGCTCACCTAATATGAGAGGCGAAATCCTCTTTGGGATCCCTATTTGTCTTTCTTGTTTATGTTATGTTCTTTTTTTTTTCCATTGCTGTCCTTAATTCTTGATTATGAATCCTTTTAGTGCCTAGGTGCAAAAACCAAGGACAAAAACTTGCCCTTCAGTAAAAGCAGTTTGCCTTTTTTCAAGGTTATTCTCAAGTCTCAGACTATTTTGCAGCCTTTCTGTTTCTTAAATTTGTACTAATTGACTCTTAACTCTACATAACCCTTTCAGATTAGCAAAGATTGAGCGGGTGCTATCACTTATCTGATCCTGCCATCTTGAAAAGCAAGCAAAATCTTTCTATTTGCAATTGAGGAAAAAAAAAAACGAGTTAACTTTGCTAATGTTAATTTAATTTGCAGAGAAGCATTTAAATTCTCTATGTATTTCTGTGAACTCTACATAAGGATAACTTCCAAAAAAGAAGGATCAATAACAATCAAATAATAATCATTACCTGAGCTACTTTTTACTATCCAGTTAAGTACAATCACATTCTTGAGAAAAACAATTATCATAGAAAAAGCTGCTGAAATATTTGAGGGCAACTCTAATCTCTTCTTAGAAACCTCCAATGACGGAGCGCCCACGATTTCTGGAGGCAAGCTGTTCCACTGGTTAATTGTCCTCACTGTCAAGGAAGTTTCTCCTTAATTCCAGGTTGCTTCTCTCTTTGATTAATGGTTTCCAACCATTGTTTCTTGTTCCACCCTTTGGTGCTTTGGATAATTATTTGACCCCCCCTCTTCTTTGTGGCAGCCCCTCAAATACTGGAATACTGCTATCATGGTGTGTACTTCTTTGAGATACTTCTAATGACAGGCTTAGAAGTCAACTAAGCAATCTGAAAATAATGATTTTAGGGAAGCTCATGGAGATCTTGAAGTCGTCATTTCACTCTCTCTCCCTTGTGGGGAATCCAAAGCTGACTGTTCCCTCAAATAGTTGCTTCCAGAGTTCCTCTTTGCACAGAGCATAGGAAGGCTTTTAGTAGGAACGTCATATGTATTTTTTTAATCATTCAGAATTAAAAGACCATTGTAAATATTTTATAAAAGTTATTTATCATAAAAGAGAGCTTGGTCCGGGACAAGCCAAAAGAGATTTTATGAATCATAAGCCACAAACCCTTATGCTGGTTTAATGACGAAATCCACATTTTTGTGGGTGAATCCAGTCTGTTGGCACATGTGTAGAACTGTGTACCAAGTTAATGAAGTTATTTGCACAAATAAAACCTGCAGACTTGTCCCCTTGTCTTTCTTAAATTCATGCAAAGGATATGAATTTTGGGGAGGTGGGAGAGCGGGGACTTTTGAATATTAAATGCTAGATTTGTGAAAGCAAAATAGGTTCAAAAGACTGTTTGTCTCTGGGTTCTTCTTTATTAAGCAGACTGTGGAATGCTGCCAGCCAATCTAGAAATGGCATGTGGTCTTTTTCTGGGAAGGGGGGTGGGTAGTGATGGTGGTGGTGGATTAATCTAGGCAGAGATACCTCCTGCTGACTGTTAAAATAGAGAACAAAGAAAAAGAACTTTTAAAAAAAGCCATAGATGCTATTAGCTTAATGTTTCTGTTCTATGATCTCCTTGCCCTGCTTGCTTTGTATAGTTTAATCAAGATTTTTTTTTTAAAAAAAATATGTGGACCAAGTAATTGAAAACAAATTTACCGTGTCTTAGACCATCAAGTTCCCTTTCAGCTAGATGGTTGGCTATGCGGTAGATTCATCTGCTTTCAATTTTCAGTGATGTGAGAAATATAGAATGACTTGATTTGTAATTGTGAGTGTTAATAATGAAAGAGATATTCTCTGGTCTGGAGTCTGCATAGGAATTCTGGCTCTGTTATGCTTCACGTAATGAAATCCAATTCAAAAGCTGCTGTTATCCTTTACTGAACGTTTTTATGCTCAGCTAACTTTTTAAATAAACCCAGGGCTCTTTTTACTTCCTCCAAACATACGCTGCATACAGGATGCATAAATATTTGCGTAGAGAAAGATTGCCATGAACGTTTTAAAAACTTGTTTGTTTAAATACATAATTCATTTGATAAAAGTTTTGTTTCGGCCTGTCACCATCAGTGTCAAAACAGTAGGAAACAGTTCATTAACTAAAAATGTATTTTATGGAATGCTCTGCTTTATTTGGGGGGATTTGGGATGTATGTTGTCATTTTTTAAAAATTTCTGTTGGTAGATAATCATTTGATGAAAAATTGAAAATCCAAAGGTTTGGGGGGATCTTTTTGTGCACTTTGGAGTTCCTTAAATCAAGCTGTCAATAGTCTTTTTGGCAAATTAGGAAGTTCTAAACTACAGGATGTTCCCAACCTCAAAATCTACAATATATTGTTTGCAAACCTTCATTTTGGCTCATGTGACTTTAGGTTTTTCAAAGAGGCAAGGCCATAGTGTGGCTGTTACTGCATATGTGGTTTGAAAGACTTTTCAGAGAGTTTAAAAGAAAAGAAGTATTTCAAGAAAGATAGGAAATATATCCAAAGGCAGTCCCTATGCTTTAACTCATCAGAGCTGAGAATGTTCCGTTCTTGGTCAGACAATGTTAGGTTTTGCATGGCTTCTGTACTTCCAAGGCTAGGAAGTGGCTTTCTGACTTTTGATGTATCTGCTAGCATAGCATTTTGCCCCCTTCCCACACACTTCTATCATCCAGATCTTTGCTGAAAGGCTTTTTAAGAAATTTTGAGGGAGGCAATTAGTAATATCAGCAAGAGATGGGACTGACTGCACTATTCTGAATTCCTGAGAGAAAGGAAACATTAAATGTGATTTACACTACCTTAAGCATACCATTAGCCAGGTATATCAAAGATATGTATATATTTATTGGGGCCTGTGTAAATCATTCCATAAAGGTTAATTTGCTCTACATCCATTTCTGAAGTAGCCACAACTGCAGAGAAGCTTGGTGTGATTGTTTTGAGGTCCTCCTGTGATCTTCTGGAAATGGCTATGCATATACAAGACACATCACTGTCCAGCTGCAGGCCTAAAAATCTTGGGAAAATGCAACTATGCCAAGCTTTCAAGAAATTATAGCTGTTTTGTAGCTTTTAGAATCAATTTCCATGCTGCTTTTCCAGGTTCATAGCTTCACATTAAGGAAAAGTTAAACTTCTTCCTAATGTTCTGTTGTATTGTTTGTTTGGGTAGGTTTGGGTTTTTTGTTTGTCACAATGGCTTTTAAGGTTGCACATCTTGCAAAGTCACTCAACCTGAAAGTGACATTTTAAATAAGAGACACCACTCCTAGACAATCTCAGCTTCTCCCAAAGGGGATTGTACTTTTCCTGTACTGGGACTGTACTTGGAGAGAGACAATATATTGGTCCATAATGGTGTACCTTTTTCTGTGATTGACCTGTGCTTCCTCTTCCTCTGTTTCTGAGCTTCACGCAAAGGATGGGTGCGAGCATTTCCTGTCATTTCTCAAAACCTGGGAGAGACAGGAAGCACAAGTTATTTGTGCATCCTCTCAAGCCTTTTCTACAGAGCGTGCAAAGTGTGACTGCATTTCACAGTAGATCAACAATAAAAGTCACTGCACTCAACGTAAAATGGCTTGCAAGCTCTATGTAACCTTGTTTTGCAGGGCTGGCTCCATATTTCAATGCGAAGTCGTAGAAAATAGTCTCCTGCCAATCTGTTCTATGTTGTCAAACCAACATGGTGGTACTGAAAAGTGAGAGGTTGTTGAATAAAGCAGTTGGGTTTGTCCACAAGATCAGGTGCACACTATTTCAGAGTAGTGTCACATCAGGGGCTTTGTGGAAAGATGACTTCTGATAAGTATAGATCAGGGCCAAAGGAGAGAGAAAGCAATCATTCTGAAATCTGACACAGATGTCAGGGTACACGAGACTTTGTTGAGCATTGAGGTCCAAATAGTTAGCCAGAGGTGTTGCATACTAAGGTAAAAGTAGAAGTTTCCCCTTTCCAGTGATGTCCAACTCTAGGGGATGGTGCTCGTCTCTATTTCTTAGTCAAAGGAGCCAGCATTGTCTGAAGACACTTCCATCGTCATGTGTCCAACATGACTACATATACACCGAGGCATAGGGAATTCTGTTGAATACATTACCTAAATTTTGAAATATAAACTATTGGGTGCTTGACACATCCATTGCCACTCCAAGTCTGTTTCTGAATTCTCCGGAAGGAAAAAGCAAGACAAAAAACTATGATTGAATGGGGTGATATGGGGCATGATTTGTGACTACGTTTTGCAACTGCAGTGCTATCTTTAACTCCTTTTTACTGCAGTCTTATTTTCTTGCATTATAAGCTGCAACTACTTTTTCTGTGCACAAACTTTATTTACTTATTTATTTTATTTACTAATATAAGCATCTCTTCTCTGGACATAGATAGGGTCTGTGTGTGTTGTATTTATATATTGTATACCCACATGATAAATTACACACACACACACAAACTTCCTTAGTTTTGATCTAATCATAATTACAAATTATTATTTTTTCTGCTAGATTATTTCCAGCTATTGAAAAGCAGGAAATGCTCTGTAAGCTGCAAATGTAAACTACCAAAACCTTTGGCTAAGTATTTAGTTGATGCCTTACCTTTTGAAATTAAGCCTTCAGAGTTAGCTTTGAAGTTTTTTCTTGCATTGTAAGAAAGATTCTAGACGTCCTGTCTTAAAAGTGTTTTGCTGTTGTTATTGTTTTGCCAGAGAAGAAAAAGGAGCAATGGTTTTCCTCAGAAAAACAATTGAGAGATTCAATTTTTCAGGTGATTACTCAGCATTTGTTTATGAGAATTCAACTTCTGCTTCATACAGTGCCTCTTTCCAATGTCTTTGTGCAGCGATATTTGGGAATATTTTAATTCTGATTTAAGGCTTGTAAATTCTGCCTCTACTCACGGAATGAGACAACTTGCTGAAGCCAACTTGCCATGGGACAATCCACATAGGATAATGCAATAAATATTATATGCCACTATTTCTTCGGCATTATTTCCATTGACAAAAATGGAAATAATGTTGAAGAAATAGTGGATGATTTATTGTGTTGAGTTATCCCACATGGATTGTCCCATGGTGAGTTGTCTTGCACCACAAAGTAAAAAAGATATTGAGACTCTAGAAAGAGTGCAGGAAAAAGCAATAAAGGGGACTGGAGACTAATATATATATAAATTGATTGCTGGAATTCGGTATATCTAGTTTAATTGAAAGAAGAACTGGGGATGACATGATAGCAGTGTTCCAATATCTCAGAGGCTGCCTCAAAGAAGAGGGAGTCAAGCTGCCCACCAAAGCACCTGAAGGAAGGACAAGAAGCAATGGATGGAAACTAATCAAGGAGAGAACCAACCTAGAACTAAGGAGAAATTTCCTGACACTTAGAACAATTTGCCTCCAGAGGTTGTGATGCTCCAACACTGGAAATTTAAAGAAAATATTGGATAACCATTTGCCTGAAATGGTACGGGTTTCCTGCCTAAGCAGGGGGATGGACTAGAAGACAACTCTGCTATTCTATTCTGTTCCGTTCCATTCTCTACTCTACTCTACTCTACTCTACTCTACTCTACTCTACTCTACT